TGCCAAAAAGGTTGGGGACTGCTGACTTAAACAACAGAAATTCATTTTCTCGTGATTTTGGAGGCTACAATTTTGAAATCAAGGTGTTATCAGGGCTGGTTTCTTCTGATGTCTTTCTCCTTGGTTTGTTGATGGCTGCCTTCTCTTTGTCTTCTCATGATCTTTCTCCTGTGTCTGTGTCCTAATCTCATCTTATAAGAGGACGTAAGGGCTGGGTCCAGTGGCTCACGCCTATAATCCCGGCACTTTGGGAGGCCGAGGCAGGCAAATCACCTGAGGTCAGGAGTTTGAGACCAGCCTGGCCAACATGCTGAAACCCTGTCTCTACTAAAAATACAAAAATTAGCTGGGCATGGTGGCACATGCCTGTAATCCCAGCTACTCAGGAGGCTGAGGCAGGAGAATCGCTTGAACCCGGGAGGCGAAGGTTGCAGTGAGCCAAGTTCACACCACTGCACTACAACGTGGGTGACAGAGTGAGACTCCACCTCAAAAAAAAAAAAAAACAAAAAAAAGATTAGAGCCTACCAATAAGACCTCATTTTACATGCAAGGATATGGTGGCTCACACCTGTAATCCCAACACTTTGGGAGGCTGAGGTGGGTGGATCATTTGAGGTCAGGAGTTGGAGACCAGCCTGTCCAACATGATGAAATGCCATCACTACTAAAAAAAAAAAAAAAAAATTAACCAAGTGTGGTGGCTCATGCCTGTAGCCCCTGCTACTCAGGAGGCTGAGGCAGGAGAATCACTTGAACCCCGAAGGTGGAGATTGCTGTGAGCTGAGATCATATCACTGCACTCCAGCCTGGGTGACAGAGCAAGACTCATCTCAAAAATAACATTTTTTCTAAAAATGGAAAAGAGAAAGACCAAGAATTATATTTTTAAATGAGTAGATATTTCACACAAAAAAGAAATGCAAAGACATTGGAAAATATACTTAACTTGGCCCATCATAAATTCTCACTTTCCACCTATCAGATTGGCAAAACTCCAAGTTGACAAATATACTTTGTTACCAGGCTTCAGTTAACAGGCACTTTTACACATCTCTGATAGGAATACAAAAATAGTACAAGCCTGGTGGAGAAGAACTTAGCACTATATAGCAAAATGACATATGCAAATGTCTTTGAGCCAGAAACCTAACTTCCAGGAAGATATCCTGAGGATTCACTGGCAAAAATATGAAAAAAGTATACAAACAAAGTTGGTCATTGCAGCACTATTTGTAATAGCAAAAGACTGGAAACAGTCCAAATATTCAGTAGGAGACTAGTTGAATAAACTGTGGTGCTTCCACACAATAGAATCATAGGCACCCATTTAAAGGAATGAGGAACATCTGTGTATACTAACATGGAATGATTTCTAGAATATACTGTTAAGTGGAAAAGCAAGGTACAGAAAAGTGTACACTTTAATGTTACTATTTGAGAGAGGAAGGAGATGAAAAATTTATCAAAATTGGTAAGAGTCCTGTCAAAGGACTCAGGAGCCAGATCAAAGAGTCTTCCACCAGCCCAAAAAAGAGACAATTTGAACATCATTAAAAATGACCACTACAATGAAGTGAAACACTCAAATATCATTAAATCCATGAGTTTGCAGTGTTATTCAAATCCAAAAACTCAGTCATTTTTGCAGAACTAATTAATCTTTCTGAAAATTAGTAATTTATATAGTTTGGCTATGTCCCCACCCAAATCTCATCTTTAATTGTAGCTCCTATAATCCCCATGTATTGTGGGAGGGACACGGTGGGAGGTAATTGAATCATGGGGTGAGTTTTTCTCATGCTGTTCTTGTGATAGAGAAGTCTCCCAAAATCTGATGGTTTTATAAAGGGCAGTTCCCCTGCACACACTCTCTTGCCTGCCACCATGTAAGATGTGCTTTTGCTCCTCCACCTTCTGCCATGATAATGAGGCCTCTGCAACCATGTGGAACTGTGAGTCCATTAAACCTCCTTTTCTTTATAAATTACCCAGTCTTGGGTATGTCTTTATTAGCAGTATGAGAACAGACTAATAGAGTAAATAAAGAGAAAGAATCAAGCATTTGACCTGCCTTTCTTATATGAACTATAGCTGAGGACAATCAAATAGTTGATGAAAGAAAAGCTTCTCTTTATAGAAGTATCCTGGCTAACAAAAGAAGGATTGATAAAATTAGAATATCACCATTCTACAAATCATTAATGAAATGATAGGTGTACCAAGCATGGATGATCATCAGTGGCCACTGACATCACAGAAAAAGACAAGCAAGTATTCTTAATAAATGCCTCCCGATGGAAGTACACACCTCTCCCTATGAAAGAGAATTTCAAACTGGCTGCTCAAATCTCCAGATCTTACCAGAGATTGTAAGACTACACAGAGAGAGAAACATGTTAAACAACTGCACAAGGAGACAGTCAACAAATCCACACTGTGAAAGTTCTATGGGAAAAATGACCCATTTAGTCAACAAATAAACTTCAAGAAAAACAAAGAAATGAAGTGGGAATTTATAGATTAAAAAAGCTTTCAAAAATTTTCTCCATTTACCTATGGTAATAAATCTTCACATCCTACACATGTACCCTGGAATTTAAAATAAAATAAAAAAATAAAAAAGAGAGATTTAAGAATCAACCAAGTGAATTTATGGACTTCATTTGCATCCCATTTTGAACAAATCACTGTTAAAAACATTAAGACACTAAAGGAAATTTGAACACCCACTGGATATTTAATAATACTAAGGAATTATTTTTTAGTGTGACAGTGATACTGTGGCTATGTTTGAAAGAATCCTTATAGTTTAGTACCTACTGTAATGTTGATTAATTAAATAATATTATGTCTGGGATTTGCCTAAAATAATCTATGGGTGAGGGAGAGAGATGATATAAGACTGGCTGTTAGTTGATAATCATTAAAAATCTGGGTTTGGAAGCAACCAAAGTGTCTATCAGTAGATGAATGGTTAAAGAAGATAATGGTACATATACACAATGGAGTACTATTCTGCCATAAAAAAGAATGAGATCTTGTCATTTGCAACAACATGGATGGAACTGGAGGTCATTACGTTAAGTGAAATAAGCTAGACACAGAAAGACAAACATTTCATGTTCTCGCTTATTTGTAGGATGTAAAAATCGAAACAGTTAAACTCATGGAGATAGCAAGTAGAAAGATGGTTATCAGAGGGTGGGAAGGGTAGTGGGGGGCTGGGGTGAGGGAGGTGGGGATGGTTGATGGGTACAGAAAGCAAATAGAATGAATAATACCTATTATTTGATACCACAATAGGGAGATTATAGTCAATAATAATTGTACATTTAAAAATATCTAAAAGAGTGTAATTGGATTGTTTGTAACACAAACGATAAATGCTTGAAGGGATGGATACCCCATTCTCCATGCTGTGATTATTTCACATTGCATGCCTGTACCAAAAAATCTCATGTACCTTATAAATATATACACCACTATGTACCCACAAAAATTAGAAAATTTTAGCCGGGCATGGTGACTCATGCCTGTAATCCTAGCACTTTAGGAGGCCGAGGCAGATGGATCACTTGAGGTCAGGAATTTGAGGCCAGCCTAGCCAACATGCTGAAACCCTGTCTCTACTAAAAATACAAAGAAAATTAGCTGGGTGTGGTGGCAGGTGCCTGTAATCCCAGCCACTTGGGAGGCTGAGGCAGGAGAATTGCTTGAACCTAGGAGGCAGAGGTTGTGCACCTGCCCTACAGCCTGGGCAACAGAGCAAGACTCAATCTCAAAAAAGAAAAAAAAAAATTCAAAAGCAAGAGTGAAAAAAAAGCTGGGTAATGTGTACCTGAGGGAAGGGGGTGGAACTGGGAAAGAAAGCACAGGAAAAGTACCACAAATCCAAGTTATTTATAAAAAATATTAGTGAAGCTATTTTATTTAGGGATATGCTGAAAGTTTTGAATTAATAGCATTATTTGACTATTCTTGGAAAGATCAACTTCTTAGCCCACTATAGGATAGATTAAGTGAGGAGAAACTGGAAGAAGAGAGGCTAATTAGTTCAATTAGTTTGGACTGAGAATCATGGTGCAATGGCTGAGGGAGACTTTTCTGGCTGCTCAGGAATTGACACTAGATCTCAGCTGAAAACTGTAGGAGCTAGTTCTCCCCCACAGGAGGTAAGCACCAACACCTGATGCTAGATACTTAGGTCTTCTGTTGAAGGTGAAGGTGCAGTGTTTGGGGTGAGGAGTTTTTCTCTCCCTTAGGCCAAGAGAGAGAAGGTCCTCAAAGAATCACTGGTAAGTATTAGAGTGCCTACAATAAGAAGAATAACATCTTGCTCCCACTCTTTCATCTGCTTAGGCAAGGGCTAACTGATCTGTCTCTGTGCCTATCTGAGCACTGGAAAGAGAATGAAGAAGGCAGTCCTTTCTCTCCTTGAAGCAAAGAATTGCTTGGAAAGTTAGTTTTGAGGGTGGGGGAAAGGGGTACCTGAACCATCCAAATCTTTCCAGGCATCACCTCCTCAGGGAAACCTTTTGTGTTCCCCCAGTACAAACTAACTTCCCTTCTTACCTCTTCTCCTGGAACTATTTTTCCTTTAGAACATTTATCTCATCCAGGAGTGGCAAGGGACAGAATACAGTCATGGGTTCTTAGCTTTTGCTTCTGGTTGGGCCAGTAATGCCCCTTCCTCATGCCTCTTTTCTGCTTATCACTAGAGACAGAAACAAAAAACCATGGTTTCAGGCTGCTAAAAGCCTAAAATGAAACAAAACAGAACAGCAAAAACAACAACAAAATAAGGCAGGTTGGACAAGCTTGTATAATGTCTTTTTCTTTTTTTAAATCCCATCCATTGTATCTCTACCTGGCACAAATTAAGCATTTGTTAAATTTAATCGGGTAAGTGAATGAGTAGAGAAATGAATGAATTTTAGAAAAGGAACTCTAGGGTTTTGACCAACAATTATATTTAAAAGTACAGGCCAGGCATGGTAGCTCATGCCTGTAATCTCAGCACTTTGGGAGGCCAAGGAGGGTGGATCACGTCAAGAGATCCAAAACCATCCTAGCCAACCTGGTGGAACCCCGTCTGTACTAAAAATACAAAAAATTAGCTGGGCATGACTACAGGTGTGCACCTGTAGTCCCAGCTTCTCGGGAGGCTTAGGGAGGAGGATCACTTGAACCCAGTAGGTGGAGGTTGCAGTGAGCCAAAATCGCACCACTGCACTCTAGCCTGGGTGACAGAGCAAGACTCCGGCTCAAAAACAAACAAATATATACATGACGTAAGCATTAAAAATACCAGATAGATATGCACAGAATGTTAACATTGATTTCATTTTAGTGGTGGGATTTCAGATTTTTATTTTTTAATTTAATAAATTTCTACAATTATATTAAGTTCTTTTCAAATCATAAGCCAGAAAACACTGCAGAATACACTATGCTAAGTGCATCATGGTTAGTCAGAAGGAACCACGTTCTGTCTCTGGTACTTAGCACCCATGTGACCTGGGGCAAGTCATTGCCTCATTGACTATCAGTTTCCTTATCTGTAAAGTGGGGATAATCAATAAACTGGGTGGCTGTGAGGATGAAGCGGGAGAATTCACATAAAGCTGGGTACTGAATGACTCTGGTCCTTAAATGTCAACTGTTATTATTGTCTGTGGGGAAAATACTTCTTGCCCTTGGCACTGTGATGCATTTATACTGTAAATATATGTGTAAATTCATTTGGTCATAGTGGATACTATTTATTAATAAATGCTAAACCAGTTTTGCTTAGAATTTAAAATAATTAAACGCATCACCAACAGGTGGCAGCATATCACAGTTTCTTTACTACAGTTGAGTCCACCGTGTCCTTGTACAACTTTCCCTATTAGAATCTATTTTAAAAGGGAAGAAGATTTGGAGTTTAAAAGTGAAGAAACCTTAGGGTTAATCTAATTCAGCTCCTTGAGTGTACATATATGGAATCCTCGAGATGCAGTAAAAACAAAGAACACGTCCTGTTTTGCTAGGAAAGGGCAGGGTTGGGGGAAGAGGTGAGGAGAAAAATCTGAGTGTACTTCATGCCTGAATTTGCAGTATTTCTGCAAAATCCATTTTAGCTAATCAAGAAAACTTAGAATACATGACAGAAAACATTTTCTAGTTCTCAAATGGAAATATCAATTTGGGGAGTAAAGAACATATCTCATAGTCATGCACAGTAACTGGTTGATGAGCCTCAACATACGGAGATTTCGCTACCCCACCTCTTTTTTAAAGCACTTTCCAACTGACAGAGGCATTGCCCCTTGTCATAGCACTGGATCCTCACCATCAGGGGCAAGGGTTATCATTGCTATTGTGCCAACAAGGAAACAAGAAGAAAATGCCCTCATAAACAGGGGACATGAATTCAAATCCAGATCCTTCCTTCCTTCCTTTTTTCATTCATTGAAAACACACATTTATTAACTTCCTGTTGTGTGCCAGTGCTCTGCTAGCTGTTGGAGACGCATGGGCTCACTGGGAATACACCTCCAAAAGGTCACGGTCTCTGTCCTTAAAGGGTTAGGGTGTCTGAACTGCATGATGCCAAATTCCTGTCTCTTTCTACTCCCCCCCATACACACACACACATCTGCACAGTGCTCTGCACACATAGTAGGTACCCAACACATATCTGCTATACCGAGCAGCCTGGGCACATCACCAAAGGCCCTTGAGACCACTGACTTGCAATGATGGTATAATGTTTGACTACAGTATTCAAATATTACAATAGTCAAATATTATAGGCTCAGAACAATTTTGTAAATGTCTAAGGTTTGTATATATATATATATATATATATATATATATACACACCCTCTTCCACTCAGAAAGCACTTAGGGGCTCTAGGATATCGGTGTATTCAATGAAATTTTTGTGTTTTGAATAATAGCTCCCAGACCTCTTTCAAAATACCTGAGGAAAGCTAGATCCATACAGCCCCAGTTGGACTGCTAGATGGCAGTAGCAGCACATGCTGTTTTTAAAGACTCTAGACAGTCAATCTCATAGAGAGGAAGGGGCCTTTAAGAGTAGCTGATCCATTCCCTCCCATTTCACAGATGGGAAGGCTGAGGCCACCAAAAGGAAGGGTACCAACCAAGGTGAGGTAACTAGTTAGCCAAACAACCTACAATCGGCTGAATTATATACAGGTTGCTGACTTTTATGATTTAATATTTGCATGAAAAGTTTCTTTATGGATACACTCAAAAACTATTTTAAATGTTTTTGTGTATAATTATTTTGGAAAACAAAAACCAAAAAGAAAAAAAAAGCAAACCAAAGAATGGAAAATAGGTTAAATCTCTTTCCCACCCCAACTTAGGCCTCCTGCCCAGAGGAGAAATTTGCTAGCAAGCTTTTAAATAACTATCCAGGGATATATTTAATTAAGTACATACATAGAGATGCATACGCATACACACACTTGGCTATGGTGCATTCATAATATCTAAACTTGTGTGTGTGTGAGTGTGTGTGAGATCAGATGGATATAATGCATATATGAAATACAAAACAATATGAACAAAAGCATGAAAGCTGTGGCCCCCAGGAAAATGTCTCCTTCACCCTCCCAGCTTTCACTAAACAGTCCATAAAGTAGTTTTCAAACTCAAGTGGCTTTATTTTATTTTATTTTATTATTATTATTATTTTTACCATTTCTCTGTTGATTTAACAAATTAAAACTCTGCCAGTGGCATCCATAGTATCAATCTTGGTAAATCCTGCCTTCTCAAGCTCTCCCTGCCATAATTAAATTACTGTAAATACAATTAGAAGGTCCCTCTAGGTGGTCTGTGTGACACCAGCCCCAAAGGAATTGTCTTGAGATATTTGAACCAAAAGTAAAGAGCAAAGTGGCGGAATCCCCTTAATCTTTGGGGCCAGTTCTTTGAGGATTTGTGGCCATGAAATAACAGGCGGTCGGTTTTAGGCAGAGCAAGCGGCACTTTCAGGAGTTATTTTTCTCAACCATCACTGGCCTTTAGGGTCAGCGTGGGGGATCCGGTCTCTGCTGCCAGCTTCCTGCCCTCCTCCTCCTCACTGCCTAGTAATTTGCAAATTACTGCTTCCAATTTGGAATAGCACAGTCTAGGGTGGTTAGTACTTTGCATCCAACACTTTTGCATAGTGTTGGGAGCTGTTGCTATGTGGTCCACGTGTGTTGCTCAACAAGCTTAAACTTTGCATAGCCCATGCTAAACTAATTTGCGTCAATTTGTCTACATCATGCCAACAATCGTCCTGAAAGTCCTGAATAGAACATACAAGGCTGCTGATAAAGGCCCTCAGCGCAGATGCCGCCAGCCATTCTGCAGGGCCCCTCTGTTGCTAGTTCTTCACCATGGTTTCTTCATATCCTAGTGACAATGTTAGTTTTTCCACTGTGAAGTTAAAACTTTTTTTTTTGTAACAAAAGGCAGGCCTATACAACTGGCACTCCAACTGATTTTTTTTTTTTTTTTTTAAGAAAGACGGCTGAATTCTAGCCCTGCTGTTTCCTAACAAGTTTTTTTGTTTCGTTTTGCAAGTTTCAGAGAAAGCAACTGGAACTAAATTTTTTAGAAAGTGTTTGTGCAATGGTGACAAGATGCTTGTCTAACAATCTGTCAGGCTGGACTAAAATTTTAAACCTAAAAACTCATAACTTTTTATGGAAAGATCTATTTTTCTAAATAAGAAAATAAATAACATTTAGGACTACAGATAGCAGAAGTAATATGAGAAAATCAAAGTAATTTGTGCTATATGAACTCTAGGAAATAATCTCACATTTAGTAGAAATTTCTATTTATTTTCAAAGCCAGATCTGGAAATATAAGTCACTTTGGAGAAAAAAAGCACCAGAGATCTTGGGGAAGTTAATTTGATTGAATCACTTCAGGAAATTGTCCAGGCTGGAGTGAGTAGGCTAATCGTGGCTCACTGAAGCCTTGAACTCCTAGGATTGAGTGATCCTCCCACCTCAGCCTCCTGAATAGCTAAGACTACAGGCATACCTCACGATGCTTGGATAATTTCTTAATTTTTTGTTGACCTGACTGTTCTCAAACTCCTGGCCTCAAGCAATCCTCCTGCCTCAGTCTCCCAAAGTGCTAGGATTACAAGTATGAACCACCACACCCATCCCAGGATGGTATCTAAAAACCATCCTGAGAAAACCGATAAATGTCCAGATGTTTACATGTAAGTGTTGTGCCTATATGTCTAGGTAGGAGGAACTAATTAGAATGTATTCAATTCAGTGGGTTGGAGGAAGAGAGATGAAGCGAGGTTGGGTACATTGATGGGTACAAACATACAGTTAGATAGAAGAAATAAGTTATAATGTTTGCTGGTGTAGCAGGGTGACTATAGTTAACAACAGCATGTTGTATTTTTCAAAATAACTGGAAGAGTCTGGGCATGGTGGCTGATGCCTATAACCCCAACACTTTAGGAGGCCAAAGTGGGAGAACTGCTTGAGGCCAAGAATTCAAGAACAGCTTTGTAGATAGGGTAAGACCCTATCTACAAAAAATTTAGAAATTAGCCGGGCATGGTTGTGGATGCCTGTAGTCCCATCTACTCAGGAGACTGAGGCAGAGGGACTGCTTTAGCCAGGAGCTTGGGGTTACAGTGAGCCACTGTACTTTAGCCTGTGTGACAGAACAAGACCCACTCTCAAAAAAAGAAGAGGACTTGAAATGTACCCAACATATAGAAATGATAAATACCCTGAGTTGATCATTACACACCCTATCCATGTAACAGACTTCTACATGTACCCCATTAATATGTATAATATAATGTATTAAAAACAATTCAACAAGTGATTATTGAGTTATTGACTGCCTACTATGTGCCAGGCACCCTTTCAGGCACTTAAAAAATAGAAGCTTTTGTGGCACCTAGGAGAGGCACAGTACATAAATAAACAAGTAAACACATGCTAGGCAATGGGAATACCAGGCAATGGGAATACCAGGAAATGGGAGATGCTAAGAAAAAAAAAAAAAAACTAAGAGGAGAAAGAAGTCAAAGTACTACTTTAGGTACAGAGGTCACAGAGGATGTCACTGTTGAGATGTCATTGAGAAGAAACTCAAGGGAGAGTGGGCAGAAGTCTCTACGACGTCAGTGGTCCCCGCAGACAGAGGAGTTGGAGTTAGTCCCAGAGAGGGGAATGGTTTTGGATGTTTGTGGCCAGCACAACTAGAGAACAGAGAGCTGGGGAGCCAGATGGTAGGAAAGGCAGTCCTAAAGAGATGAGAATGAACCAGAGTGGCGAATGCTGTCCCATCATGGTCTCTCCACTATTCTGTGTCATAGCAAATCTAGATATCAGCAAACTGGTTCTAGTCTCTCCCAGCCATACTTGCAGAGAACCCTAGAGAAAGATGGTCAGGCTGATACTACGTGGGAGGATGTGGAGGTAATTGAAGCTAACAGGCATATGATAAGATGCTCAAAGTCATTAGTAATTTAAAAATTGCAAATTAGAGCAACAAATATTTGTAACTTTTCTACTGGTAATGTGACGCAAATTAAAAACTAAATCATGACAAGTGTTTGCAGAAGTGTGGGGATGGTGGCACCCTCATGCACAGTTGGTGTGATGGTAGGCAGGTGCAGCCATTCTAAAGAACAATCTAGAATTACTTAGGCAAATTAGAATCTGAGAGAACCTATGACCCAGCAGTCCTTCATATATTCCATGGAAATTCCATTGTGAAACTGAAAAAGACCATAGCCTTGGAATTTAAAAACAAGACTTTGTAAGAAGCGTACTGCAGGAAGAAAGAAAGGAGGTGCTTACCAACTAGGGCTTGGGGATGCCACATCCTGGTTCTGTAATACATCAGCACCTTATACATTCCTTTTTACCATAAGTATAGTCTGTGACTCCCACCAGCAATTGCCAGTGCTGCTCTTATACAGATTAGAGGGCTGGGCCACTTGCCTTCCAGCAGCAAGGCTGACTACCACCTCGCCTTCTCTGACATCCATAGGGGTCAACATTCAGGCCAGTTCCCCCCATTCCTTTCTGGGAGACCCGAGGGGCATTTTCACATCAGGGACCATGAAGCCTCCACCTACAGGGGCCAAAGCTGAAAAACAGACTGTCCCTAAAACGGGCAGGGCCAAGGCAAGGGTACAAATAGAAGCCCACATACCATGTCTAAATATTTAAAATTTATAAATCAAGAAGTTAAAGATATTCTATTCTCCTATTTTGACGAATATATTTTAATACCTTCATGACAACCCAGAAGGCAACGTTTGAATTTATTTTTTACTTGTAATGTTTTTAGGGACAGGCTCTTGCTCTGTTGCATGGGCTGGAGTACAGCGGTGTGATCATAGTTCACTGAAACTTCAAACTCCTGGGCTCAAGCAATCCTCCTGTCTCAGCCTTCTGAGTTGCTAGGACTACAGGCACATACCACCAAGCCCTGCTAACTGAAAAAAATTGTTTTTGTAGAGACAGGGGTCTCGTTGTGTTCCCCAGGCTAGTCTTAGACTCCTGGGCTTAAGCAATCTTCCTGCCTTGGCCACCCAAAGTGCTGGGATTACAGGCATGAGCCACTGTACTGGGCCAACATTTGAATTTAGAATTCTTGGATTCCTCAGTGCACAAAGGAGCTAGCTCACAGCCTGCAGCCTACACCTCTGCTCTTCCCACTCTGGACTCCAGCCCACTCCAGGAGGATGTGGACACCCAGTCTGCATGTCCAAGCTCCAACCATCACCCACAGGATCAGCCTTCAAGCAGACTATTTTTTCAGAATGCTAGACCTAGAGAAGAGGCCTGCACATGCCCTGTAGTTGAACTTGGGATTTGCTGGGGTCTAGAGTACCCAGAAAGAGGTTAGGGGCTTCAGGTGAGCATGTCTCCTTGACCCTATGGATTCCTTGTCCCACAAGGAGGGTCACAGTCAGAGAAAGGCCAGAATGGAGCCCTGTAAAGTGAGGGGACCAGGGGAGGGGCCCTTCTTGCCTGAATATAGGGGTGGTATGTCTTGAAAGGTAAGCAGGAGCCAGGTAGTAACAGGGCCTTGCCTGCTATGTTAAGGAATATAGACTTAGACCGGGCACAGTGGCTTATGCCTGTAATTCCACACTTTGGGAAGCCAAGGTAGGTGGATCACTTGAGGTTAGGAGTTCGAGACCAGCCTGTCCAACAAGGCGAAACCTCATCTCTACAAAAAAAATTAGCCTGGTGTGGTGACTCACTTCTGTAATCCTAGCTACTCGGTGGCTGAAGCACGAGAATCGCTTGAACCTGGGAGGCAGAGTTTGCAGTGAGCCGAAATGGCTCCACTGCACTCTAGCCTGGGCAACAGAGCAAGACTCTGTCTCAAAGAAAATTGAAAAGGAATGTAGACTTTATTTCTTGACCATTAAGGAATCATGTTAGGTTTAAAGCAAGTCTTCAGGGCAATAAAACCAGAGGTGATAGAAACAACCATTTTGAGAGAATTAAAAATCAAACTGCCCAAAATACTAAAAGGTAGCACTTACGAGCCATGGGCCTTGAGTCTACCTAACCTCTCTGGGCCTCAGTGTCTGCAGTTGTAACCAGGTGGCTTAGACGAGATGAACACCTCAAAAGCCCCCGTTCCGCTTTTTTTTTTTTTTTTTTTTTTTTTTTTTTTTGTTTTTTGCACTTGTTGCCCAGGCTGGAGTTCAATGGCACTATCTCAGCTCACCACAACCTCCACCTCCCGGTTTCAAGCGATTTTCCTGCCTCAGCCTCCTGAGTAGCTGGGATTACAGGCATGCGCCACCACTCCCAGCTAGTTTTGTATTTTTAGTAGAGATGGGGTTTCTCCATGTTGGTCAGGCTGGTCTTGAACTCCTGACCTGAGGTGATATGCCCACCTCAGCCTCCCAAAGTGCTGGGATTATGGGTGTGAGCCACTGCACCTGGCAAAAGCCCCTCTTCTAAGGACCTCCACTAATCCATGTGTAAGACAGGTTCTGAGTTGAACCAGATTAGGGATTCTCAATTTGGGCTCCCCTGAGGGTTCTCCCTCCCACCCTACTCCCCAGCCCCCATTTAAATCAGAATCTCATTTTTGAAAGTTCCCCAGGTGATTCTATCTGCAGCCAGGGCTGAGATCCACCATACCTCATGATGCTTTCCAAGATCCTTCTCCTGCCTCCATTGGAGTTTCTCCCTTTGAAAGGAGCACATTGGGCAGGATCATCTGTCTCTTGGTTTCTCTTATTTCTAGGACTGGAGACTCTCTGAGACTCAGCATTTCTAACAAGCAGGGCTTTGTCAGAAGAACCATGGGCTCTGAGAGAGGCCCTGGTCACGGGGTCACCTGCATTTGTGCAAAGCAGCAGGGATGGGAGATGGGGTTTGAGCCCTGGGAAGACAGGTGCTGTGAATGAGAACCAGACCCTGTGACGGAGCTGCCAACGTTGGACTTGGCACAGAGAAGGCCACATCTCAACCAGCGTGAATGGGCTGTTGCCTTCTGGCAGCTCCTCAGCCTCCACCAGGCACCTGCCGACCGAGGCTTCTTGGCAGGTGAGAAGAAGTGAAGAGAATGGGGCTTTTCTCAGACTGTTCCCTGGACAACGTCTCTTGTCATCTGGGGAGATGAGGGGTGGAAAAGACAAGGCACTCACTGCATGTTCATCTGGTTCCATGAGAGTATCACTGGTGGGGAGGCAGAAAGGGAGCTCATGTTGAAGTGCCACTTTCCGGCCCTATGTCCGGAACTTAGCTGTTCCAGACACCATGAATGAGATTGGCTGATGCTTTGTATCAAATGTAAAGTGCTCTCTTTTTGCATGGCTGGCACTGGAGGCTGATGACCAGGATCCAGAGCTCTCCAGGAGCCTGTCAGGGCCAAGCAAGGGGCCTGATTGCAGCTCTGTGGAGGCAGCAAGGACAGAGCTGCCTGCTTAGAAAAGTTGTCATTGTCAACCAAAACTAGGAAGTGATGAAATTTCTCTTCAGGGACAATTGAGCAGGCTCTGCCACTGCCCACCCCTCCTGGGGCCCAGGTCTTAAGTGGAAAGATCACAGATTCCAAACCAGATCTAGAGCATGAGGTCTCAATTTGGGAGATGCCTCTTGGATACTAAAATATCAGAATGTCCAGGATAATTCCATTCTAGGTTTACATGAACAGCAGAAGAGAACACTGTCATAAAAATTGTCTCTGCAAATCTGGGGTTAATATCAAAGTAGTATTTGCCATTTATTGATGCCTTCTCTGTGCTCTTTGTTTTACCGACTTCATCTTCTGAGATCTTTAAAACAATCAGGTGATAGAAATACTGTTATTCCGATTTGAAAGTTGAGAAGATGCTGAAGTTCAGGTTAGTGAAGCTGCTTACTCAAGTTGGTAGAGCCAGGATTCAAACTCTGCTCTGATACCCAAACCTAAACATCTCCCACTAGGCTGTGCTTCCTGTAAATCCAAGAGACAGCTGGAAGAAACTGTGGCGTGCACATGGCAGAGGTTGTTATTAATGGAAGACAATGGAGAAGACCCCAGAGGCTCCTCCATGTAACCAGTCTCAGACACCATTCCTTGTATCTGAGATTTTGAAAATGTCATTATTGAAGTTTTCAGGAACATTTTGAAAAGTGAGCAATAAAAGAACTGGATAGAAGCCGGGCACAGTGGCTCATGCCTATAATCCCAGCACTTTGGGAGGCTGACGAAGGCAAATCACTTGAGGTCAGGAGTTTGAGACCAGCCTGGGCAACATGGTGAAACCCCATCTCTACTAAAAATACAAAAATTAGCCAAGTGTGATGGCACACACCTGTAATCCCAGCTAATCCAAGGCTGAAGCAGAAGGATCACTTGAACCCAGGAGGCAGAGTTTGCAGTGAGCGGAGACTGTGCCACTGCCCTCCAGCCTGGGTGACACAGCAAGACTCCACCTCGAAACAAAACAAAAAGAACTGAATTGATTTATTTCTGTCTTAATCAGGGTTCTTGTGATTTTAAGAAGCAAAAATCATCGGAGCATGGTGGCTTGCTACTGTAATACCAGTGCTTTGAGAGGCTGAGGCAGGAGGATCACTTGAGACCAGGAGTTCAAGACCAGGCTGGGCAACATAGTGAGACCCTGTCTCTACAAAAAATTTAAAAATTCCCTGAGTGTGGTGGTGTGCACCTGAAGTCCCAGCTTCTTGGGAGGCTGAGCAGGAAGATCACTTGAGCCAGGAGTACGAGGCTGCAGTTAGCTGTGATCACACCATTGCACTCCAGCCTGGCAATAGAAAAAAAGGGAAAACTTATTCCCCTTATTTAATCAAAAAAGGTCAATGTATGGGAAGGATATGGGGGTGTCTCATGGTCTCCAAGGAGATGAAATGAAGTCAAACCCAAGAAGGGACCACAACCAGCAACTGCCTGAGCCCCTCCCCAGCCTGCATTTAGTAGATGGATGCCCAGGCTTTTATGGAGTGACTCTCCAATTCGCTGTTGACTAGGGAGTTTGTGAAATTCCCTGTTGGGATAGAATAGGATTCCCTGGTCTGGCAGTATGGAATCTTAACCGACAATAAGCAAAGTGATGTTTCTGAGACAGAGCTACAAAGTGGACGGCCCACAGCTTCTGGACCCAGCTCAGACTTAGGTTTGAAGATAGACTTAGAGATCCCTAGCTAAGTTATCCTGGGCTTTGTTGCTCTGAGACTTAGTTTCTCTGATTGGAAAATGAGGATCATAAATCCTGCATTGGATGTGTCAAAGCAGCATAGAGCCTGGTACTCAGTAAGTTTCCAAGGTACCTTCCCCCTCATCACTTCCTGAAATGGAGGGGGCATCTGATGGAGAACTCTCATGAGGTTATCACCCAGAAGTTCTCAGTGTGTGAGACTGAGAACATAGGAAACAGGAAGATCCCCACTGTCTCTTGCAATGGTGACATGAACTGCTCTTTAAAAAAAAAAAAAAAAAAAAAAAAAAAAGCTCTGGCAAGTTTATTAAGGAAAAATATTGTATGGTTTACTTTTTACCAGTCTTCTCTGGCATGCTTCTAATGATCTCAGAGTCACTGGGATCAATGATAGACAATGTACAGACTCTAGTATTTTCTGCATGCTGTGCCTAACTCAGTATTATTGCCACCGTAATGGCAATAATATCGGACACCAGTTTTGGCCAACAGGGCCTAGTACTCTATTTTGGATTTCCTCAAAGCTGGGCAGTTGTTAGCGAGGACTGTCAGTTTTGCTTTGCCTTGTCTGATCATCTTCAGAGTCAGCTTGTAACCAAGCATGTACCTTCTATTTTTCATAAAGAGTTGAAGTCTACAGTTGATTCACTCTAGCAACTTTCTCCATCTTATTTATGGCCACCATATTCCTGCCCCTAGGTCTGGGATGGCCTCCAACCAGGATCAGCCACCAACATGTCTGGGGAGTGAGAAAGGAAGCATTGGCTGGGTGCGGTGACACACGCCTGTAATCCCAGCACTTTGGGAGGCGGGTGGATCACGAGGTCAAGAGATCAAGACCATCCTGGCCAACATGGTGAAACCCCATCTCTACTAACAAATATAAACATTTTCTGGGTGTGATGGTGCGCGCCTGTGGTTCCAGCTACTTGGGAGGCTGAGGCAGGAGAATCGCTTGAACCCAGGAGGCAGAGATTACAGTGAGCCACGATTGCACCATTGTACTCCAGCCTGGTGACAGAGCGAGACTCCATCTCAAAAAAAAAAAAAAAAAAAGAGGAAGCACCAACTACTTGGTGCTTGGGTATTAACACTTGACTGTGATAGAAATCTGTACAATCTTGTCTTTATAAGAATGGTTTTCTTTCCCTGCTTGAAGTCCCAGAAACATTGGGTAGGCTTTGGGGAGAACTAAGAAGAAAATGCCCACCATAGAATTTTCATAGATAGAGCTATAGGAGGAAAAAAAGGGAAGAGGTGGGTTTGTATATTGCTTTAATTAGCAAAACCAGGAAGTAACACAAACAACAAATGTGACCTGCATTTAAAAATATTTTCTCCACTGGGCACTGTGATTCACATCTGTAATCTTAGCACTTTGGTAGGCCAAGGTGGGAGGATTACCTGAGACCAAGGGTTTGAGACCAGCCTGGGCACCATAGTGATACCCCCACCTCCACAAAAAATTAACAAATCAGGTATGGTGATGCATGTCTATAGTCCTAGCTACTTCAGGAGGCTAAGTCAGGAGGATTGCTTGAGCCTCAGAGTTCAAGGCTGCAGTGAGCTGTGATCATGCTGCTGTACTCCAGTTTGGGTGACAGTGAGACTCTGTCTCCAAAATATAAAAAAATTATTTTCTGATGGCTTTCTTATTTTGTGATGCTCAAAAGTGCCCCCAAGAATAGGGCTTATTTATTGCCAGCAGAGAGAGGAATCCAGACGTCCTAAAATCCTGGCTCAGCTTCCAGAGTCTGCACTGAGCCCATCTCTTGGGAGACAAATAGACAATATTCCTTCAAAACTAATGAGACAGCATGCCAATTCTGCCCCCCTTCTCTGGCTCCTTTCATAAGTGGGTCAGGCTGGGCTCTCCAAGCAGCTCCCTTTTCACTGTCAGTCTTAGGAAGGACCTGATTCCAGACAGGAAGTCAAACTCCACAGCTCTCTCCCCGTGCGTACTACAGAAGCCATCAGGATCTTTAGGGTCTGGCCCATGAGCTGCCACCAAGGACTCTGCTTTCTGTTCCACCTGAAATTGGGTCTGGATACTTCAACGACCAAAATTGGAGACCTCTGAAGAACAAATGAGGGAAGGAGAGGAAACAGGAATAGAACCTGTACACACTGGTATAGTGCAGTGACAGAATCATGGCTCACTGCAGCTTTGAAGTGGGCTCAAGCAAGTCTCCCACTTCAGCCTCCCAGTGTTGGGATTACAGGCTTGAGCCATGGTGCCCGGCCAGTTTTTTTCTTTTAATAGTTCTTAACCTTTTCTGGGACACAGAACACTCTGGGATCTTAAGAGGATTCATAGAAAGCATGCCCCAGGGAAAGGCACATGAGCACACAATCTGACAGGTAGCATCAGGATTATGCCTGTATTCCCAGTACTTTGGTCGTCCGAGGCAGGTGGATTGCTTGAACCCAGGAGTTCCAGAGCAGCCGGAGCAACATAGCGAAACCCTGTCCCTACAAAAAATACAAAAATTAGCCAGGTGTGGTGACATGTGCCTGTAGTCCCAGCTACTTGGGAGGCTGAGGTGGAAGGCTGCTGTTAGCTGTGATCATGCCACTGCACTATAGCCTCGGCAACAGAGTGAAACCCTGTTGAAAGAAAGAAGGAAGGAAGGAAAGGAAAGAAGGAAGGAAGGTAGGAAGGAAGAGGGGAAAGGGAAGGGAGAAAAGTAAAGGAAAGAGGGAGGGTGGGAGGGGAAGGAGGAAGGAAGGAAGGAAGAGGGGAAAGAGAAGGGAGAAAAGGAAAGGAAAGAGGAAAGGAATGATGGAGGGTGGGAGGGGAAGAAAAGGAAATAAAGGGAAAGAAAAGAAAGAGGAAACATTTTAAAATTGACATAGTTTAACTGAGTAAAGAAGGATTTGTGAATTGGGCAGACCCTCAATGAGAGGATCTAGCAAGTTGCATGGTATTAGAAGAATTATGGACAGAAAAAGGCAAATGACCTACAGAAGGCGGAATGGAGGTATGGAAACAGCCCATGTGGTTAAGGCATGCATTTGCCTGATTTAAACATGCTTTGAGTAGTTGGCCACCTGTGATTGGCAGAAACTCAGTGATTGGCACAATAGAGGGTTACAGACTGTTCACACATCCAGATAGGTTACAGTTCACTAGGTAGGAGAAAGCTTTAGGCTGAACTTAAAATGTAAGGAGGCGGCTTTAGGCTAAACTTAATTTAACAGATACCACTAGAACCCACTCAACTGCTTAAGGTAGAAAAAAAAAAAAAAAAAGGCACTACAGCTGGGTGTCCTGGAAAGTTCACTGCTGCAAAGACTCCCTTCAGACCTGCACAGTCTTTGCTCCCTGTCCTACCCTTTCTGTACTTCATCCCTGTCTGGGCCACCTCAGCTGAGGCTAGGGTGAATGGGCACAGACATTACCAAGAAGGTTCTGAGGGTGGATGGGAGGGGACAGCTCTCAGGGAGGCAGGTGTAGACCAGGCAGGCACCCAACACTGCTGCAGCTAGGAGTAGGAGGAGCACTAAAGAAAGAGTCCAGAAAGCCTGGGATTTCAGGAGGCTAACTTCCCTAGAGGCGCTCTGAGCTGGGATTTTCTCAGTAGATTCCCAGGCCTCTTTCTCAGTTCATTCCAGCTTGTAAAATATTCAAATGAAGGTCCAGAAGCCCAGCGTGGCTGTTCTGGGACTCAGGAATGCTCAGGCTGGTTTCCACATGCTAGTTCACCAGACCCCCAGCTCCACGGGCTCATTGGTATATGCCTTCCTTCCGCAGCTCCTTTTCCTCTTTTAGTTCCCTCACTGTGGGCTGGAGGGCTGGCTTCTGATTCAGGTAGGGGAAGAGGCATGTTGAAATATTTGCATGCAAGACAGGCATAGAACATTGTAGGGAGAGCAAACAATTCACTGAGTCTATCCCTGGCCCTCTGCTGGTGAGATAAGTGCTCTTGGAGGAGCCTCAGTTTTCTTTTCTGTAAATTCGGGGCAGTAATTCTTTTCTTAGAGAATCCTTCCTCCTGGCCAGGCACAGTGACTCACGCCTGTAATCCCAGCACTTTGGGAGGCCAAGGCAGGCAGATCACCTGAGGTCAGGAGTTCGAGCTCAGTCTGGCCAACATGGCAAAACCCCGTCTCTACTAAAAATACAAAAATTAGCCAGGCGGGATGGCGTG